CTTTCATGTCTTGTCAAACTAACTCAAATATGCTTAAATGTTTGTTGTGAAAATTACTCAAATGGTAATTGGTCACAATAGTAAATACATATATGAGACTCACCTGTTTTGTTGCTGAGCCATGATGATTTCCAAAAAAGGCAAAGATAGTAGTGTCAAAAGGTAGTGATGCAGATCCAAATGTTCTTCAGTCAAATCAATAAATAGAGTCCTGGAGAGAGAAATCGGGAGGAGTTACTTTAGATATGAACAGGTTCCTCAGAAGTCGCAGACTCTTGTGTGCATAGAGCTTATCCCATCCACAGCAGCCGGCTTTAGCTTATCTACCTCAAAGTCACGGGACCGTGAAGCGCTACTTGTAATATGAGTAGTGCAACCCGTGGGTTAACTCGCATACCGGAACACCATACATGGGCATGACCATTTCAGTCATTATTCAACATGACTACAGACTAGCGTATTTTCAAGTAACATGCAGGCAGCAGTGTGAATGTGAATGTATTCGTTGTAAACTGAGTTTTATCGGGATACTGTCCGTGCAAATAAACGCAAAAGAGCTCCCAATAGGCCAATACCTTAAAGAGTTATTACTATTTTCTTGCGATTCACGACTTTTTTTTTCAGAAAAAAAATCTGCATTCATTGTCAAGTAAGTGTTTATGTATAGCAGGAAGGTAAGATGTAGAGTCAACAGTTAGAAATAAATCATAAAAGCAATTATCATCATACAGGTTTGTCTCAAAACATTTAAAGAGCCAATTCTTTAATTCGTTAGCTGTTACTAAACGTTAGCTAACATTGCAAACGACTAAATGACTTTTAAATGCATAATCTTATTATCAATAACGAAATTTAAAAGTTAGTACTCACCAAACGATTGTCTTGTATGCTTTAAGTAAGATTGTTTCGAGCCGTTAACTTCTGTTTCCGTATGAGTCCCCGGTCTGCTGATATATAGCTACGAGGGAAGAGAGTGGAAATTTCCATTGAGCTCTAGACGGGGGCGGATCCACCAAGAATGTAAATCCGGAGCTGATTGGCTACTATTGAACCTTCTCTATTTTAATTGGAAGTTCTACCAATCAATCGACCAATGCACCAATCATGCTTCTACAAATGAGTAAGGGGTGAAGAGAAGATAAAATAAACCATTGTTCGGCGAACATTTTTCTGAATTAGTATTGTTAAAAATAGAAGTAAACAAACACTTAGCAGCTATTTAATCATGATACATCTTTTGGAGTGGTAATCCCGAAAGTCGGTGAAGGGTTAAGACGCGGTTTACTAAAAGACCTTTACTAGATGATCGTGTTCCTGCTCGAGTTCCCATTGTCTCTGTTAAGATCACCCTGGCCTTAAGATCATCCTGGAACATTCTGGTGAACTTGTTTGGGCTTGTTGTAACTACCTGGTTAACTAGAATTATCCTAATTACCTTATTCTAATTGATGCTATTTTGGAGTTAAAGTAACTAAACGCATGAATGTAACATTTTAACATAACTTTTTTTTCTCCAACTACATACATCTGACAGACACAGTTGCTATAACCAACTACATATAAATATTTCTCCATACAAACCATATCACAAGTTTAAAAAATACAGTGCATTGTTACCAGGAACTACCCTACAGGATGCAACAGTTACAACTGGCTCCATGCAGTTTGTACCTGCCTTCATGTAATTGCATTAGTAACAATCATAATAATATAATGCATAAAATAAAAACAATATAGGCCACGTAACTTAAGCAGGACAAACATGTTGTGGGGAACAATTGAGACTGAGCATTAATAAAAAAAACTAAACTCACAGGTGTGTTTATGTGTATAATACATTGTCAGGGAAACCAAAGAATCTGCTAGGTCATGTTGTATGCTCTGGCAGGTACTACTTAATTTACATATTTGATCCGATCTGTTCATCATAACAAGAAGGTTTTGCAAAAAAAGAGAAGCACAGCCAATGGCTTCACCTTAAAAGTTTTAAATTTTTTAATATTGATGAATATTAAATGAAACAATGTCCATCTGTTGCTAAGGTTAAACCAGAAACTAATGTCTATTGAATTACTCAAAGGGGTTTTGTTGCATGAGCATCTAGTAAATTCTATAGGTTTAAATGGCAGATTACCCAAATGCACCGCACCCACAAACTGGTATGTGTCATAGAAAAATTACAAGGTAAATATGCTGAAGGCAAGAGGGCTCTTGTTGAAATGTAAACTGGTTTCTCGAAGAGGTTAGTGTGCAAGGCAAAGAAGACCAAGGCATGACTGATAGAAGTGTTGCATCAGTGTGTGCTACCCCCGAAGGTCGGGTTTTTTTCATTGACAGCTTTCTTACACGTGTCATTTACATAGTGTTTCTTTTAATAGTTTTGGACCTTTTTTTTAGGAAGTTCAGGGTCCTAATATAAGCTGCATGGGACAACATTATATTAAGTTCAATAACAAATATCTAACAAGATTGCTACTGAAGAACATGAACGCGCACTGTTTTTTTGTCTTTTATTTTTATCAAAAACAATGCTTAAACTATTAAATGTGACAATAAAAGTTGCATTACCATTACTTTTGTCCTCAAGAGTATCCCTCCATATTCGTGTGTGCAGGGGCGCCGCTAGGGATTTTGGGCCCCATGAAAAGATATCACAATTGGTTACTTAAACATATTTTTCTTAATATTCTAAAATTGTTTGGGCCCCTGTCAGTCACGGGCCCTAGGAATCGTCCTAACTTTTCACCCCCTTGCGGCGCCCCTATGTGTGTGTGTGTGTGTGTGTGTGTGTGTGTGTGTGTGTGTGTGTGTGTGTGTGTGTGTGTGTGTGTGTGTGTGTGTGTGTGTGTGTGTGTGTGTGCATGTGTGTGTGTCTTATGATAAAAGCCATCAGTTATGTAAATGTGTCACAGTACGAAGGCACAGTAAACATCTATAATTGTATGCTATGCTATAGCTTTGTTAAGGTGTACTTACGCACAGTGATTTAAGGAGCTAAATGCTCACAGTTTAGCATGTTAGCATGCAATCATTTACCTATTAGCAGTGATTATGTCATCAATTAAAGTATTGCAGAAGTGGAAATTCTGACTAGATATAGGCGCTATAGTAGAAACGATAAGGTGTTATAATATTTGTTACAGTTCATCTTGAAGGGAACATGAATGTGAGTACTAAAAACATCTTAATCCATTCAATAGCCATTGAGATATTTCAGTCTAGACTGAAAAAAAGGTCACATTTGTTTTAGTTGAATAAACACAACACAAACAAAACTGTGTGGTTTGTCTCAATGAAAGAGTGGTTGGTATGTGCGTCACATGGCTGTTTTCCTGGATTGCTGATGGAAGCAAATTCCAATTCATCCACTGCTTTTTCCAGTCTGATGATTGTAGAGTTATGTCTGGTCAACTTTTTGTATAAGGTATACAGCATAATTAACCCTCTAGTGAGGTGGGTTTATGAGTAAAGTCAGGCTAGATCATATAGATTCATTGAACTCAGGAAACCATTTGTTGTTGTTATGTTGGTTACAGGATAAGTAGCAATATTGAAACTGAAAAACAAAGACATAAACAATGGACCATAAATCCAGGAATGTTCAATTTGACAGCAGAGTGTAAACAGTGCCGGTCTGTGAGAAGTTGAAGAAGCTTCCTCAAGGTTATGGGCTATAGGGTTCAGCATTAAAAACCGGTTTACATTAATAATTTCCCACACTTAGCTCGTGCCCAAAAAATACAAGGTTTCTAACTTTATGATATGTGTCAGGGATAAGTGGCACAGAGTCAAAGCTTAACTATTGTTCACTGATGAAAGTGAAACAGAAATTAACTTTCTGCCATTCATTTAACATCTTTTGTTTTGTCCTTCAGTTCACCAGCTTCCTGTTAAATTTGATATTTTATTAAATATCTCAATATCTGAAAAGCTGCTATTGAGCTGCAACACCATGAATAACACTTATAATGCTCTGATACGTACAGTTAGAATCTGAGCCTTACAAGATAACAAAGACAAACAAAGAGACACTTAAATAAGCAAATTAAATGTACACTGACGGAGGAATGTTGTAAATATAGAAGTGAGATGAATATAACCTAAGGTGAGGAAAGAGCAATGTAACAGAGTTCCACACGATGGACTTCATAGTCAGTTTCAACTTTGAACTGCTGTGCTATTAATAAGCTCCAGCTGTCTCCCTCCAGAATTCACGGTGACAACGGGAAACAACACATTGATGCTGTACTGTTATAGACATATCTACTCAACAAATTGGTAAAGACAATTGTCATACCGTCATTTTGGAGATGGGTAATTATTCTGCCTTATCTTTGTGGACCAACATGCTCACTGATAATCCATTTGGTAAGAAGAGGTGAGTTAACGATCATGCGCCTTCAGAATGACGGATGTGGCAAATATATCCTGAGGTGACATTGTGGAGCGTCATGGCCTTGTGATTGTGATGTGGAAGCTACTGTAGGGCTATGTACAGGATGTGATTAAGTCAAACACAGCTTAGTCAGAGAGCTATTTTGAGACGTCAGCTTTAATTGAGTTGAATTCAGAGTATCCCTCTCAGAGTAAACATAATATGTCTGGGAGTCACACACACACACACACACACACACACACACACACACACACACACACACACACACACACACACACACACACACACACACACACACACACACACACACACACACACAAGGGTACAGGAGGATAAATAATGACACTGACTAAAATGCGTGCCAGGATCAACCCCGCATTGTAAAGTGAGTAGCAGGGCTGCAGCACAGGCACGCTTGGCAACAAAGACACAATAAACAGTCAAAACAACAATAGGAACAATAGGTACCAGAACAGACAGTATAGATAACTCTATATCCATCACCAACTAAAGGATGGTGTTTGTTTCATCTAAAAACATTCATGACTTATGCAGCTGCTGGGTCGTTTTAACAGTAAAAAGAGATAAGCTGATACCAGGAGAATCAGAAAGGGATCATGTAGTTTCTCTGGCCAGGGTACGGGTAGAGACTTCTCACTGGTTTGGTACAGCGAGCTCTGTCAGGGCCGGACCTCTGTATGCACTCATTGCTGTCCGTTCTGCAGGCCCCACAGTGGCAGCTGAGGGCCACAGGGTAGGTGAAGACAGGGTTGGAGTCCACGGGGCAGCCGGGCAGTACGGCCGCACGGTATTCCACCTTGTCATAGGTACAGCCTCGCTGGATCAGGAAGCGTGTGCGGAGTGGGTGCTTCAGGTTACTGTCCTGCTCAACATACAGTACACAAACACATCATCAACTCATTATACATTTCAAATCCTTGAAAACAAACAACTTTTTGTAGATTTTTATCTTAAAATTGGATAAATCCAGCCGTGGCTCTGTCTCTTTGTCAGGGTTGAGGTCAAGGCCCCCTTAGGCCCCTTGAACAATAGCCAACAGACATATTTACATTGAGGTTGAAACTGAATTGTTGATTAATGTACACTTTTCTAGGTAAATAAATAATGCAACAAGTTTGTTGGTTAAATGTTACAGTCTTTCTAAAAGATCACCTATTTAAATCTGTTTGTTTTTTATTTGACTGTTCCTTGACACCTTTACATCAATCACTTTCCAATATGACAATCTTTATTTTTCCAGCTGAAGAAATGAATGAGAATCTATGTCAGACATACCTTTGAGTAGCAGAATCCCATGCAGATGGTTGTGTTGATCGCCACACAGTAGCCACACTCTGGCCGTTCCACATACAGGGTGAAGTCTGTGGGTAAGCACATGGGAACAGCTGGGCTGAACATCAGGAAAAGGAGCCAGCTGGTGAACACTGCACTCTCCATGTCAAGCAAAGGGATTTAATTCCCAAATAAACTTGGGATCTGCATGGAAAGGAAATATAAAGACACACATTGTCAACCAGAGATCAGCAAGGACATAGAGCGTAGTATCTTCATTATGATTTGCTCCTTTTTGCATGTGAGAGTCACCTGCTCCAGAGATGCAGGACCTGATGATGCGGTGAATCCCTCATGAACAGTATTTATGCAAACTTTTTCGTATCCAAGGTAGCAGTTATCTTCTATCTGTGACGAACTAATGGACTTAGTGTTTAGTCCATTAGTTGAGTGACATGAATTAATAATTATTTGAATGATCAAAGTTTATGCGTCAAAGCAAAGTGACGCAATTGATTCTAAATGAACTGAAGATCCTGGGCTTGTTCAGTGTCCACTAGATGTCACAAAATGCACTGTAAACCCCAATAGTACTACTAACTCATAAGTATTATGGGTACTGCAATCAAAACCAAATATCAAGTCAACCGAACAATAAACTTATACGTTCTTTTAACGAAAAGTACTGTTTAATTTTATGTGAATCATAGTTTATGAGTGAATATTCAAATTTGAATTAAAACTTCTGAGTGAACAGTCACGCAGCGTCTGACGTCATTACGTCATGACGTTGCGACGAATCGAGAAAAATCCATCCAACATGGCGGCTCTTGCAAGCGAAGGGATTCCACACATGGTTTAACTTGTAAGTACCAAAATAAGTCGTTAAAATTGTTTTTCTTGTTATAATATTGTAAGGATATACCACCTGGGCCCAAGAGTTCAAAACTTTGAATCCCTATCTGATCAGATCAGATTTATCTTTTGGGGAGTTCAAAACCAAAAAACAGGATTAGGATCACTTTGATATCCGATCAGATCAGGAAATCCAATCCAATCTTTAATCTGGATCAAATCTTCAAAACGGGTAGTTCAAACCGACAACACAGGATTGGGATCAATTTGATCCCAAACAACTGGATTATCCTGATCCCACCAGAGGGGTGGATTTCCAGTGGATTACCAGAGCAAAATGTACTGTACAATTTATTTTAAAATATGTTTCAATTTAAATTAGATGGCAAAGTTTGTTAACTGAAATAATACACCATTTTTAGCCTTCATGGGAAATACATTTTATTTTTCCATTTTTTGCTCACGTTTGTGAGGGCCTATTTTGTTTTCAACCAAATGTTGATGACATAAATGTTTATGCTCATGAAAGTATCACAACAAAGATTGTCAATCACAAATGTAATTTAGATTAAATAAAAAATATCTTCAACAAAAAAAAGTCCATCATCTGTCATCACCTTTCAAAAGTAATTGCAGACAATAGCATCTCGCCTTGCACCACCACTCAGTCTCTCATTTAGAGAGAAATCCATAGGTGGGCCTAGATCATCAGCAGGTGCGAGGGGCTCTGGGGGATCATCGATGTCAGAGAGGGGGACTCTGCGATGGACGGCGATATTGTGTAGCACAATACAAGCCAGTGTTATTTGGCATGCTCCTTGGGGTTCCACTCAGATAGTTGAGGCATGCAAAACGCCTCTTCAGTACTCCATTCAAGCGCTCAATGGCATACCTTGCAAGCAGCTAATCACAGACTCAACCAGAGAGAAAGTAGTAGGCCTACATCATCAGCTACCATGTCTGACAGAGAGGAAGACAGTGAGGAGAACAGTCAGGAGGGTAGTGATGACAGCTTGTAGGATTACTGGTCATGCTAATGTTGTCTTGTGTTCACCTCTGCATGTGTGTTCTGTGTTCACCTCTGTGTGTTCAGTGCCGTGTGTCTGGCAAATAAAGTCAAGACCCCCTCAAAGTTACGGTTTATTTCATTTTAAGGATGAGCACCAAGCAACATCTCCAGGTGCTCCTTTGAGAACCAGGGCAAAAAAGTTATGTGCACCCCTGTTTATGTTCCTATGCATTGCACTCGGACATGCTGTGGAGTGAATCGAGTCACCTCTGAGAGGGAGTTGGTTGACAGCTAAAAAAGCTATAATATCAACGACAGCTGACACGTAATAACGGTTACGTGCCAGCTGATCTGCACCAAAGTTCTAATGTCCTTATTTGTTTCCTCGCGTCTCTCTCTCTCTCTCTCTCTCTCTCTCTCTCTCTCTCTCTCTCTCTCTCTCTCTCTCTCTCTCTCTCTCTCTCTCTCTCTCTCTCTCTCTCTCTCTCTCTCTCTCTCTCTCTCTCTCACTCACATGAAATGTGTTCTTTTGATGCGGCATGTCTTAGCAGTCCTTTATCAGTCTGTAATGCGTGTTTCCAGTCGCAAAAACCTTTGACAGTAAAAGCCGCATCAGATGAAGACGTATTGACTTTAAACTGTCTACAGCGGAAACAAAAGGCTGCGTCTGCTTTTAACGAATATTCAAGCCATGGTCTGTTGTAGTACCATGCAGCGGCAAAAGTGCGCTTCTTTCCTGAAAACAATCTCCCTGGATAACGATCCAGCTTCACCTGCTTGGGTTTATTAACCCCAAGATCATCACTAACTCAGTCCCGGGGTTTGCCGAGGTCAAGCTTGTGATATTAAGGCGTGCTGCTGCAACGGCAGGTGCAGGGTCGCCAGCAGCACCATCGGCTGCAGTTCTTTCATCGCTATTTCGTTTTAATAAATCCTTAGACCTTTTAAGCCAATTTTTTATGTCCATTTTGTAATTCAAACAGAAATGGGAGTCTACAGAATGCACAATAAACAAATCCAGAATAGGAGGCAGAGTGTGACGCTGTGATTGGTCTAAATGGGGACGAATCACAAATCACAACAGACACATGCATTTATTTGACTTAGCCTGCGATTTGTTGTTGTTGTTCTGACATCACATACATCGTAGCATAAAAGTTCACAGTTTATTTATAATTAAAAAAATGAAATATATATATTTTTTAATTTTTATAAATAATAAAAAAACGTGTTTATTGGGGGAGGGCAGGAATGTAAAATGGGAGGGCCTGGCCCTCCCTGGCCCTCCCACGGCGCCGGGCATGAAGGTAACTTGAACAGAACTGGCCTTTCTACAGATCCGATCATCATGCTTTGTTGAAGTTGCATGGTTGAAATGGTTCAATGGCATGGAAGTGCAAAGTGTGTTCTGTCTCGTCAGACACCCGGGCTCAGTTATTTAGGCACTATCGTTTGAAGCATAGCCAGTACTCAATAGTTAACCCTTTGCCATTTGTCTATGACTCTTTCATTTTTTACTTTTCAATCATTTATCATTGCAGGAAGTTGAGAAAAGTGAGAAGAACCTCATCTTGATAGAAAAGCTCATGCAGACGACTTTTGCCCTTCGTCGCCAGGAGATCGTTCAGGAAAATCCCTCGGTCGGGGACTTTTTAGAGAAATGGCCCTCCGGATGGAATCACAGGTAAAACACAGACGCTCTCAGACGTTTTAATCTGTCTCTTTTCTGCCCCTTCTCACATCTTTCTCATAGTCTGCACACCGTTTTCCAATTTTGCTTGCAAAAACTGCCTACTTTGCACACAATGGAACAGTGTTGTTGTTCAACGTTAATTATAAAACAATATTTATTTTTATAATATAAATAATAATACAAATTAAATGAATACTTTGAATATGATCATGTTGCAATATATTTTTACGGAAACAACTAAACAGGTTGCATCACTAATAATTTTACAGTTGCATATACATTAATGATCTTTATACATTTGTGTGTTCCTGTAGGTTTGTGCCGAGCTTCACCGAATAGAAGTTTGGTCCAAATCAAGTTTTTCCAATGACAGCCGAGGCTAAATTACTTGATTGGAACACACCATAGTATCAATGCTTATTTACTTTTACACATAACCACATTCATTAAAATGCACAAATAATAAACAGATATTGTAAAAGATACTGGATTGTATTTTTCAGAAGAGTGTCACAAATATAACAATAACAAATAGGGGGGGGGGGAAATATTTAAAATTATTAATTGAATTTGACAACAATCAAAAATAAAAATGTATATATTAATTTAAAAAGCCATTGCTTTTTAATTATGCTAGTTTTTGCTTGTCTTTCCAGGAAGTACAGGATGTCCACATGAAACGCAATGCAGCCCTTCGAGCCCTCCCATTATACCTGCGTGAGGAGGACCCACAGTTCTTCAAGTCTTGGAGCGTAAGTATTTAGTGCACTCAAAGTACTGCTAGTGAGGTCAGAATGTGTGCTTGTAAGAAACTGTTTCGCTATTTTACCCTTTCAGTTAAAAAAACAAACAGACGGGAGCAATCAAAAATATGTTCAGATATATAAAAGAAAGGTTCACCTAAACACATTTTTTAAATACCTTCCTATATACTTACCTGTTGAGGAATATGTGAATGAGATTGTTTAGTTACTTCAAGTCAACCTTACAGTTGGACTCTATGCATTTCCAGGCAGAGGAGGTGGACCGGCCAGACATCACCAACACACCGGTTGCTATTGTCAGCATGGTCGCCGAGAGGCAAGGCAGGCAAGGCAAGGCAGGTTTATTTATATAGCACTTTTCAACACAAGGCAATTCAAAGTGCTTTACAAAAAATGAAAGAGATTAAGAAAATGGCATTTAAAATCAGTCATTAAAAAGAAAAGCTAATAAAATAAACATTAAAAGAAAAAATACATGGATAAAAGTTACAGTGCAATTAAACATTAAAAGAAAAAAAAAAAAGTACATGGATAAAAGTTACAGTGCAGTCTAAGATATGAATAGTTCAATTAAAAGCAGCGACAAAAAGAAAAGTCTTCAGCCTGGATTTAAAAGTAGTCAGAGTTGCAGCGGACCTGCAGGTTTCTGGGAGTTTGTTCCAGATATTTGGAGCATAATAACTGAACGCTGCTTCTCCATGTTTAGTTCTGACTCTGGGGACAGAAAGCTGACCAGTCCCTGAAGACCTGAGAGATCTGGATGGTTCATAATTTAGCAGGAGGTCAGAAATGTATTTTGGGCCTAAACCATTCAGTGCTTTATAAACCAGCAGCAGTATTTTGAAATCTATTC